TCGACGAGACCGTTCGCGCTCGAATTGTACCCACTGATTCGAATATGGTTGATGTGGTACTTCCTCGAAAGGTAATCGGCCGCCTTGATGAACGCCGTACCGTTGTCGGTGACGATCTCGCTGAGCGCGCCCCATCGACAGAGGATGTCTTCGAAGATCCAGTCGGCAAGGGCCTTTGCTGTCTCTTTTCGAAGCATTCGAAACTCCGGGTAAGTCGTGAGCGAGCATCTACCTTGGACCAAGTACTTGTATCCGCCCGAGGCCGGCATGTGCATTGTGTCGATGTGAATTTTCGCGAAGATGGGGGCTGGTACTGCGACGGTCGGAGGAATGAGGATTTGACGCACTTGTCGAGACTGGCAGATATGGCACGATCGAACGAACCAGGCGATGTCGGCGTAGTGGAACGGCCACCAGAATCGCTCATTGACGAAGGCTCGGGTTGCGTAGATTCCTCGATGCGTGGTGCGGTCGTGGCATTCTCGAAGTATTCGAAGGCGATCACCGGGCTTGATGACTAGCTTGTGTGCTCCGTGACTGTTCTTGCGCCAGAGGGTGTCGTTGTCGAGGAAGAATTGCATGCAGTACTTGATGAATCCTTCGTAAACGCTTTCGGAGATGTCGTCAGGCTTTGCTAACGTTCGATGAAATTCGAGCACGTCGTCGAGCTTCGCGTCAGCGAGTTGCGCTTGCTCCGATCGAGGCACTAGCTCATAGCTATCCTCCTCCCTATTGAAATCTGAGCCGTCCTCGGCTCTGTCACTGGTGAAGACGGCAAGCGAAGGGACCGGTGGGAGGGGCTGAATCTGGTGAACGAAAGAATGCATCTGGTCGATCCAATCGTCGAACTCTTCGTCGACCTCGCCCTCGATGACATCACCGGGTTGAGCGGTGCGGCGAGAGAGACCGTCGGGGCCGTGCATTGTACCGGGGACGTGGACCAGCGTGAAATGGAATGTGAGAATCGAGACAATCCACCGGTTAATACTCGCGCTTGGGGCTATGTCCGGATTCTTCAGCATACCCTTGATGTACCGAGCATTGACTTCGACGATGAGGTTCCGAACGCCGATCACGTAGAGTCGAAGGGATCGTAGTGCGCGGAATAGGCCGTAGATCTCGAGCTTCGGCTGTGAAAACCTTCGTTCACGATCGTAGAGCGTGATCGAGCCGAACCTATTGTAGTAACGGACTCGCGTGTTGGCTTCGTCGCACTGGCAGAGGTGATATCCGACGGCAATGAACGACGTGTCGACTGCGAGAATGACGGGAGAGGGGGAATCATAATTGATGGCTCGGAGTGTGGGGGATGAGAGTAGCGCGTCCTTGAGGTCTTCCTGCGCCGCGATTTGCTCCGGACCGAACTCGAACTCGACGTCCTTCCTCGTGAGGCGTACG